TCCCACCACGACTGTTCCCGCTGATTACGAGGAAACATACAAGTACTTTACCCGCCGCGGATCCCGTGTCCTCGCGCTTGCCTACAAGCAGCTGAGCACGGAGGGCGAACTGAGCAGTGGCAAGATCAACGACCTCAAGCGTGAGCAAGTCGAGAGCGGCCTCACTTTTGCCGGCTTCCTCGTCCTGTCCTGCCCTCTCAAGGAAGATGCCAAAGAGGCCGTTCAGATGCTCAACGAGAGCAGCCACCGTGTTGTCATGATCACTGGAGATAATCCTCTAACCGCCGTCTACGTCGCTCGCGATGTCGAGATTGTAGACCGTGAGGTCCTCATTCTCGACGCCCCCGAAGACAACGACGACGGCGACAAGCTCGTCTGGAGAAGTGTGGACGACAAGATCAGCATCCCTGTGGACCCTACCAAGCCTATTGATCCCGAAATTATCAAGACCAAGGATCTCTGCGTTACCGGTTACGCTCTCGCCAAGTTCAAGGGCCAGCAGGCCTGGTTCTCCATCCTCCGCCACACCTGGGTCTACGCTCGTGTGTCGCCCAAGCAGAAAGAGGACATCCTTCTCGGTCTCAAGGAGATGGGCTACTACACTCTGATGGCTGGCGATGGCACGAACGACGTTGGTGCTCTCAAGCAGGCCCATATTGGTGTCGCTCTTCTCAACGGTACCCAGGAGGATCTTGTTCGTATTGCCGAACACTCTCGCAACACTAGGATGAAGGACATCTACCAGAAGCAAGTCGAGATGATGAAGCGCTTCAACCAGCCTGCTCCCCCCGTCCCTGTCCTGATCGCCCACATGTACCCTCCGGGCCCTAGCAACCCTAACTTCAACAAGGCTGTCGAACGTGAGGCCCAGAAGAAGAATGTTTCGCCCGAAGAGTACGTCAAGGCTCAAGGATACGACGTCGAGACCATCACTTCGCCCGCCGCCCAGCAGCTCATCAACTCTGACCCTAAGAACCGCAATGCTCAAGCCCAGAAGAAGGCCGCCAACCTCGCCGACAGGATGACCACCAGCCTCATGGAGAATGAGCTCGACGACAACGAGCCCCCGACTCTCAAGCTCGGTGACGCTTCCGTTGCTGCGCCCTTCACGAGCAAGCTCCGCAACGTCATTGCCGTTCCCAACATTATTCGCCAGGGCCGTTGCACACTTGTCGCCACCATTCAGATGTACAAGATTCTCGCCCTCAACTGTTTGATCACCGCCTACAGTCTTAGCG